AAGCAGAAATTGTTGCCCCTAACTAGCTTTAAGCCTTTCTTGAAAATTATTTCACTTTATCATCCCTTGGTTTCTTCTTCTGCAAAATGGGTGGAGGATGGAAGAGGAAAGAGATTGAATTAAGTTACCTCTAAAATCCCTGCCATTTAAAGGCCTCTTAGCTTGATGCGAATTTTGAGTTCTATTCAAATGGAGGTGATGAATTTGTGTTCAACTAAATTCGTTTCTTACTCTGTCTTCTCTAGAAACCAGTAGTGCATATTTATATTTGCACAATTACTGAAAGCATTGGAGAGTCAACTCTGATTGCAGAATCAGATTTCTTGTTGTATCTGGATTATTAAAGAGATCTGCAACTGGATTTCTGTTAATTAAGATAAATTTCTTTGGCATATTCCAGTACTAGGTTGAATTGACCTTTTTTTGCATTTACTCTAAATATCAGGAAATTTGCCCTGACCGGTTTGGCTCAATGGATAGAGCGTCGGCCTGCGGACTGAAGGGTTCTAGGTTCGATTGCAGTCAAGGGCATGTACCTTGGTTGCGGGCACATCCCCAGTAGGGGGCGTGCAGGAGGCAGCTGATGGATGTTTCTCTCTCATCGATGTTTCTGACTCTATCCCTCTCCCTTCCTCTCTGTAAAAAAAAATCAATAAAATATATTAAAAAAAATAAATATCAGGAAATTTGAGTTACATCAACTTTTAAATTATTTTAAATTATGAGTGTAATGATTTATATGAAATAAAACTTGAAGTAGTATTCATATAAATAAAATGAGAGTTTATATAAAAAGTGATGCTTGTAGTAATTTTGGAAGGCAGTGGGGATTGTAGACATAAACTATAGTTTTTTGTTTGGCCCATGTGGCTAGAATTTTAGACAGTTGGTCCTTTCATTCTTCACTTGGGAAGCTTCATTATTGTAATGAACAAAAACATTTTTGAAATGGGTAAAGGAAATAAGCAGACAGTTGATAGCAGAGGAAATACAACTCATAGATGAATGTTAGATCTTATCAGTATTCAAATAAATGTTATTAAAGCAAAATGAAATACTATTTTATACCTATTTTAAATTTTTTGAAAATAGTAATATGTAATGCTGGTTAGATTTTAGTAATGCAAGCATTTGTAAATATTGCTAGTGAATTATAATTTGGCATATATATTTTGAATTGTTAGACTGTTCGTAACCTTGTAATAAACCTTTGATTTAGTAATTTCACTTCTGAGACTATCCTAAATAACTATGCAAAAAAGGGAAAAGATAAAAAACAAGTCTGTGCAGAATACTCAGAGCATATTATTTATAGTAGCAGCATATCAGAAGTGACTTAAATTTCCATTACTAGGAGACTTTAAGTTATGATATATCTATTCTGAGAACCATTATGTAACATGAAAATAATCACAAAGACTATATTACCATAAATAGGATAAATGCCTATAGCATAAATATGCCTATTAAGGAAGGGTATATATAACCATTTAAAGAAAAAGATGAGGAATGCACTAAAATGCTGATTGTATTGGTATGATAGGGTTATGGATTTTTTTTCTTTTTCTAAATTTAAGTAACTTTTATAATGAAAAAATGCATAAATCAGATTTTATTACTGTGTTTTTAGTAAAACTGTGGTTGCCAAATTTAGCTAATAAAAGCACACATAATATTTGGAACATACATACACTAAAAATTGTCTGAAATTCAAAGTTAAACTGGGTATCCTGTGTTTGTCTGACAATTCTAATTGGGTTATAATTGAATGTTGTTGAGAAATGTTGGACTACTGCTTCTCAAATAATTCTAACTATTGTTTTTAATTACTCTTATAGTCTAATTTTATTTTAGGACTAATATTTGGGTGAGGCTCAAAGGAAATATTCTCCAGTATTTGGCAAGAGTAGTTTGGAAATCTTATTGCTTCATGAAAACGTTAATATTGGATGCTGCCTGTTTACTAGGTGTATCGGTTAATAATGCAGATTTTTTTCAATAGAGTTACACATATGTTGATATATGGACTTTGTTGTACATTTCTTATGTCCATTTTAATCTACAGTACATCTCCCCACATTATCCTTTTTCTTTTCATGATACCTAATCAATTGTTCTGTATAATCTGCATTTTGAATTTATCTGATTTTTTCATTGTTTTCTATTTTCTGTAAGCTGAAAGATAGATCTAAAGATTTGTTTAAATTAAAAACATTTTTGGGCACCAGCATTTATGGTTGATGCTGTGTATATCATAATGCATTATATCTGGAGTCACAGATCTGATTGTCCTACTCTTAGTGGTGCTGAGATTGATCAGTGAGTAAAGCGGTGACAAATCTAATCATTCTATTATAAAGTTTATTTTTTCCCTTATAAGCAACATGTCATCTGTGATACAGTGCTTTGACTCTAAGTACAATATAGTGTTTTTTAAAAAATATATTCTTTATTGATTTCAGAGAGGAAGTGAGAGGAAGGGAGAGATAGAACATTAATGATGAGAGAGAATCATTGATTGGCTGCCTCCTGCATGCCCCTCACTGGGGATCAAGCCCACAGCCCAAGCATGTGCCCTGACTGGGAATTGAACCGTGACCTCCTGGTTCATAGGTCGATGCTCAATCACTGAGCCATGCCAATTGGGCAGTACCATATGATTTTGATAATTGTTATTTAGGGTAGTGTGGTTGCCTAAATGCCATCAGTAGGGTTGTTATGAGTTGTAAACATTTGTCATTTATTTGCTTTCAGCATTTGAACCTTTTCCTGCATTTGGCAAACCCTTCAATTTGTGAGTCAGTGCCTTCCTTTCACTGGAAAAGCTAAAAATGTTAGATGCTTTATTACCAGCCCCCTTTTTATCTCAGACATGGATAGGTTCCATCAGTATAATATGCCTACCTCCAATTTTGGACCAGAAGCTAGTCATATTGAAGAAGATGGTACTGCACACAATCCACTCTGGTGATGGGTGGTAGCAGTAGCCATTCTTGTTTAGTTTTAGAAGCATCAGAAACAGTGGTTCTAAGTGTGGCATCCATCCAGTGTCTAGACCGTTGGTTGTGCAAGCTATGACATCTGGGCATAGACACTGGGCAGGTTGAGACATACTCTTAGGTTTATTCTTGGCTATGTGGCCTTTAAAAGTTTAGTTCCTTGCTGTTCTGGAGATACTTTTTAAAAAAATCATTTTTTTTTGCTTAGGTAGCTATAATTTGTTTTTCTTCTTAATAACTAATAACTCCAAGAGAGACACTTTGAAGGAATAATTTAGATCGGGGGATCCAGTGTCTTCCTAGGTCCTCCTTAAATCTACAGTTACATTTGTCTACCCCTTCTTAGTTTTTAAAAGTCATTGTATATTTATATTCTCATTTCTTGTTCTTTGAGATGTAGTTTGTTATCGATTGTCAACTCTTAGAAATACTCAATGCTTTTTTGAGGTGGGAGAATTTTGAAGAGTTTATTAATTAATAGCATCTATTGCACTGACTGAATTTTGGCCATGTGCATTTGTTAAAATTTTAATTAAAAACTTTACAAGTGGCCACATAACTTATGCCAATACATGGCCTTTGAAGTCTCCATCATCCTTTCCAACCTTTTCACATTTCTTCTCTCCTCCTTACATCTCATCCTTCCATCAGTTCTATAAATGTTGAAAAAACCCTCATAGCAGTTCTTCACTCTATTGGAAAACATTCTCTGCACCTGCTCCTTCCTTTTGATCTGGCTTCTTCTTGCACACCTTTTACATCTTGGCTTAGACATTACTACTTGTACATAACTTCTCTTTCTTGACTGGTCAGCCAGGTTAAGGTCCTTGGTCACATACTCTCATCAGCCCTACAGCATTTGCTTTGCAGCTGTGATGAGTTATTTAGAACACTTTCTGTTGTAAGTGGGAAACCCAACTCAAAAAGGAAAAAAGAGAATTAGTGTCTCCTATTATAGAAAAGCCCAAGTTTTGGGTCTGATTCAGTATGGCTGCATTCAGAAACAAGTTTCTATTCCGTTTTGTTACCTTCTCAGATTTCACATGGCAGGCTTCACGAGTTCTAGGTTTCCATCCTCTCAAGTTCAAATCTAGTGGTAATAGAAACTATAAAAACATGAAGGCTTTATATCCTAGCATGTCTTTTTGAAGACTGGGTCAGCAATGTTAAATTAGGAGAGGCAAGCTGAAACCCTAGAACAAGGCTTTTATATACCTGATATATGAAATATTGAGATAAAAACCTTTTATTGAAAAATAAAAGCAAAATTTACCTTAACATATCATATGAATGCCAGTTTAACTTAATAAACTCTTTATGCAGTTTAGTTATTTGTTCCCTTGTAGGCAACAAATAGCAAACTCAGTCTTTCCAGAAAAAAATGAAGCAGCTCAATAATTGAATTTTTGAGAAAGCAGTTTATAGACAGTTACAACCAAATGCAGATTTGAGAAGGATAGGAGATTCTTAGGAACATTTTCCCTGTTAAACCTTTATGTACATTCTTAAATTCAAACTTGGTGACTGAAGTTAATGTTTCATAGAAATTCACTGATAACTATAAAAGAAAACATTAAGCATAAGCTCAAAAATACATTCAGTTCTTATAAAGCCTTAAGTATTTGTCACCTCTTAGTATCACCTTTATAGATTAAAGCAAGACAGGGACTGCTAATCACATATCATTGCCTCTGGTAGCTGCATGAAAACAAGTGTCCTTGAAGAAGCATACTTGTGTTACGCTAGCAAAACACATAAGAATTTGGTACTTTCCGTGCCCTTGTGGGGTGGCTGTTTGCAGGAGGACGCTGTCCCTTCCTGCAGGGGCAGCTGTGGGGATGAGGACACAGTGCTGTGTGTGACAGCTGACTACAGGTCATAATCAATAGCAAAAGCTTAAAGGTGGCCCGTGGGGTGGAGGGCTGGGGTTGGGGGGGCTGTGGTTCAGACCCAGGAGGAGGTTGGGGAGAGGACATGCAGCAGTCTCAATGAAGGACCGACATGGGTAGCAACACAACGCTCTGGCAGGGCAGTGCCCAGAGCAGCCATGTGCTGCACATGTTCCACGGCTCCACGGGGAAGCTGCAGCGGCAGCTGTGCAAGGGCGCATTTACCATGTTCAAGCGCATTCCTATGTTTGAGAGTGACTTCATCCAGATCAGCAAAAGAGGAGAAGTGATTGATGTGCACAACAGTATGCAAGTGGTTACTGTGGGCATTGCATATACCAGCCCCAGCCTTACAATACCTGACGTCATGCTGCTGGCACGACCAGCTGTCAGCTGTGCAGTCTATGCCAGACATGATCAACACACCCAAGGAAGGGGACTCAAGTCAGCGAAGACCTTGGAACTGACCAGGCTTCTTCCTTTGAAGTTTGTAAAGTTGTCTGTTTACAGTCATGAGAAAAAACAGCTCCACTTGAAGCTTGCCACTGGCCGCTCTTTTTACCTACAATTATGCTCCCCTTCAGATGCAAAAGAAGATGTGTTTGCATACTGGGAAAACCTGGTGTTGTTCCTGAGACCACCAGAGGATGCTTATAGCGGTACCCGAGTTGTACCCGCTTGGGACTCGATGGACATACCTGTGTTGGAGGCAGAGGACAGGAAGAGCCCAGGAGTAAGTTTTTGCAGAGACTCTCAGCGAGGGGCCCGAGTGCTTCGAGAGAGCAACTGAAGGCTCCCAGGCTGCTCTCTTAGGCTGCCTGGGGAAACTGCATGTGGAAGGACTCAGGCCAGTAGAACCACTATGTGGAGGCCTTGCTACATTTGGGAGGTCCCGAGTGCATCTGAATATCCTGTACCTGACCCTGTACCTGACGTTGTAATGCCGTCGACAGCATTCTGACTGTCCAGTCTGTTCTGAAACACTTACATACTGCTGTGGACTCAGGCAGTCTGATCTGCTGTGGGACATTTTTAACTATGAGAAAGCCCTTTCTTTATTTGAGCCATGAACTGATATTTGCATAAATCAGTGGCATTGCAGCATGCATTGCACACAGGTGCACAGTTTGTTAGTAGCTCTCAGAATGTAGGATGGACATAGCTTTTGACTAGTGGTTCCCCTTTAGGAATCTGTTTGGCAGAAATTATAAAACAAGTATATAAAGCAGTGATGGTGAACCTTTTGAGCTCGGTGTGTCAGCATTTTGAAAAACCCTAACTTAACTCTGGTGCCGTGTCACATATAGAAATTTTTTGATATTTGCAACCATAGTAAAACAAAGACTTATATTTTTGATATTTATTTTATATATTTAAATGCCATTTAACAAAGAAAAATCAACCAAAAAAATGAGTTCGCGTGTGTCATAGGTTCGCCATCACTGATATAAAGTAAAAGTGTGAGGATGCTCACTGGTGAATCACACTAGTAATCTCCCTGGCACTGAAATTGTCCAACTTCAGCTGGTCCACAGGTATTCTCAACACTTCTTCTGGTCACAGGGACAATTCGGGGTCCCTTTCTCACAACTCCCAGCACATAGGAAACCACACTGGTTTCTGGCTCCACCATCTAGTTGCCTTTACTGATGTTGCTTCACGGTACCCTGTACCTTTGAGGAAAGTTAAAGTCTGAGAGTGTGCCAATAGCCCTCAAAGCTCTCAGGTTTCCCAAATAGCTAATTATTTCTACTCCTGCCCCTATGTTTATCCTTCTGGGCAGGTTTGAAAACAAAACTCCCATGTTTGTCCTCCTAGATCTACCTGAATCTCCCTTCTCCAACAATCCCATGGAACCAAAAGACTTAAGCTTTCCTCAAATCCTATCAGTCGGAGGAGGACCCTCCTTTCCACTTATGTAATATTTTATATGCATGGTGGCCAGAGCTACAGTATTTTATGCTGAAAGATAGAATAATAGATTTTTAAAAAATTCATTTTTTCTGGATTACTCTGTACTTTTGCAAATATGGTCTTGCTAAAGAGGTTATGCAAGTCAGCTTTAAGACTCAAAGCGGGAAGGAGGGGAATGGGGACATCTATAAGAGTGTCAATAATAAAAAAACGTTAAAAAATAAGACTCAAAGCAGGGTCAATGTCCCCTTTCTTCTAGGAAATAAGTAAATATTTGAGGACACGGATTTTCTGTGAAGATTAGCTGATAAAAAGCAGGCCAAGTCCTTAGCACTGTGTTCACCACATAGTGATCACAGTGCTGTGATTTCTGCTATGTTGGCTGCTATGATTGCTGTGGTATTTCAAGGACATTAAAGGGGAACTTCCCAATCATTTGTTAGAAGTAAAAATTTCAGGGAATGCCTTTAAATATTATTTTGGATCTTGGCTTTCTCAGAATTGTGTAATCTTTTCTCTCAGACCTTCCCTTTCTCTTCTCTATAAAAGCTCTTTGGATTTCAGTGCATTCCTCTGAACATATCCTGCGCGCACGCACTCGCTCCCTGGGCCCTCTGCCTTTATCCACACCCTGTATTTTCCCTGTGCTTATTTCCCTCTATATTCCCTCTGCATATGTATATTCCTTGTGCATACTTTTTCTCTTTGCAAGCACTCTCTTAATCTGAACAACCAGAAGCTGAGCTGGAGATGAATAGTCTGCACTCAAGGAAGATGAATCATTTAGAGATGTTAATTGAGAGAAGTTCAGATAAAGTGCATTGGCAATTCAAGTAGGAAGAAATCATTTGTAGTAGGAGATGATGAAAGAGGTAGCTGTTGAGCTGAGTTTTGAAGGATTATAGCATCTAGATGTGTCCAGCTGAGAGAGGAAGGGTGCTTTATTATTTTTTTCTTCAAAAGAAACAATTTAAAAGCAGCTCAATTGTGAGTGCATGTTTGAGTGACAGCTACTTTTATTTATTTATTTTTTAAAAATATATTTTATCGATTTTTTTACAAAGAGAAAGGGAGAGGGATAGAGTTAGGTTGCCCTTGACTGGAATCGAACCTGGGACCCTTCTGTTCGCAGGCCGACACTCTATCCACTGAGCCAAACTGGTTAGGGCAAGTGACAACTACTTTTTTTTTTTTTCTTTTTAAGGCCACCAAAAATTTGGTTGCCTCCCCTCAAAAAAAATTGGGAGAGAGAGATGTGACAGCTACTTTTTTTTTTTTAATTAAATCTTTATTGTTCAAATTATTACAGGTGTTCCTCTTTATTTCCCCCCATAGCTCTCCTCCACCCAGTTTCCACCCCACACTCTGCCCTTACCCCTCCCACTGTCCTCATCTATAGGTGTACGATTTTTGTCCAGTCTCTTCCTGCACCCCCACACCCCTTTCCCCTCAAGAATTGTCAGTCCACTCCCTTTCCATGCCCCTGGTTCTATTATCTTCACCAGTTTCCTCTGTTCATCAGATTTTTTATTCACTTGATTTTTAGATTCACTTGTTGGTAGATATGTATTTGCTGTTCATAATTTTTATCTTTTCCTTTTTCTTCTTCCTCTTCTTAAAGAATACCTTTCAGAATTTCATATAATGCTGGTTTAGTGGTGATGAATTCCTTTAGTTTTTTCTTATCTGTGAAGCTCTTTACCTGACCTTCAATTCTGAATGATAGCTTTGCTGGATAAAGTAATGTTGGTTGTAGGTTCTTGCTATTCATCACTTTGAATATTTCTTGCCACTCTCTTCTGGCCTGCATAGTTTCTGTTGAGAAATCAGCTGACAGTCGTATGGGTACTCCCTTGTAGGTAACTGACTTTTTTTCTCTTGCTGCTTTTAAGATTCTCTCTTTGTCTTTTGCTCTTGGCATTTTAATTATGATGTGTCTTGGTGTGGTCCTCTTTGGATTCCTTTTGTTTGGGGTTCTCTGCGCTTCCTGGACTTGGAAGTCTATTTCTTTCACCAGGTAGGGGAAGTTTTCTGTCATTATTTCTTCAAAGAGGTTTTCAATATCTTGCCCTCTCTCTTCTTCTGGCACTCCTATAATTCTGATGTTGGTACTCTTGAAGTTGTCCCAGAGGCTCCTTACACTATCTTCATATTTTTGGATTCTTTTTTCATTTTGTTTTTCCGGTTTGGTGTTTTTTGCTTCTTCGTATTTCAAGTCTTTGACTTGATTCTTGGGATCCTCTTGTCTGCTGTTGGATCTCTGTATATTATTCTTTATTTCAGTCAGTGTATGCTTAATTTCTAGTTGGTCTTTTTTCATATCCTCCAGGGTCTCACTAAATTTATTGGCGGTTTCCATAAAATTCTTGAAAAACCTTATAACCGTGGTTTTGAACTCTATATCCAGTAGTTTGCTTTCCTCCATTTCTGTCATTTGTGACCTGTTTCTTTGTCTCCGCATTTTTTATGCTTCCCTGTGTTGGTAGAGTGGCTTTGTGTGCTAGGTGTCCTATAGGGCCCAGAGGCTCAGCCTCCCCAATTACCTGAGGTGGACACTCTTGGTGCACCCCCTTGTGGGCTTTGTGCACAGTCTTGTTGTAGTTAAGTCTTGATTGTTGTAGGTATCACGGGAGGAATTGACCTCCAGGCCAATTGGCAGTGAGAATCAGCTGTGTCTGCAGTGGGTGCTGAAGACACTCTTCTGGGGCAAGACTTGCTTCAGTAGGGCTTTGGTGCTCACTGAGTCTGCCCCCTGAGTGTGTTCCTTATGGATCTGAGGAGTTGTAATCTGGATGGTCCCACTCTGACCACTGGGTACACTGGCTCTTGGATCTAAGGAGGTGCTAATTTAGCCTTTGCCTGAGGCTACCCAGCAGGAGCTACGAAGAGATCTGCAGATTCCCCTTCCTTTTTTGGGGTTTGGAGGTGCCCAGATGAGGCCCAGCTGTGAAGCAATGCAAGCTGCTGTGGGGTCTTGGGCCTTCTCTTGGAAGTTCTGGGTCTGTCTGGCCCAGCTGCAATTTGTTGGTAATTTTCAGATTGCAAAGGGCCAGGGCATTCATATGCAAAAGCTTCTGCCGCAGCCTGGGTGGGGCGGGGTCTCGGAATCAACAGGGTGGAGCAAGCAGCTATGGCTGATCCTCAGCCCTGCCCTAAGGGGCCCCGCGTAATTGCTGCAAGCACCTCTGAGGGAAAGCCGCCCTCAAGTTCCGAGTTCTGCCTGCTGCCAGACAGTCCAGTTTCTCCCCGTATGAGTCCTGGGTCCCCAGAGACTCACCCGGAACTGGAGTTCAGAGCAGTCGGGAGCTTGTGACTCCCTCCCGATTCAAAAAGACAGCCGCCTCCTCAGGTACCAGACCCTTTCTGCGCATGCTCGAGCCTCCGTACCTCTGCACTTTACTTCCGCAGCTCCTGAGTCTCAGTGTGCTTTTCTCTTTCCTTCTAGTTGTAGAATTTCCACTCAGCCAGCCTTCCTGTAGTTCTGGATGATGTCCGTTTTGTCTTTTTGTTGTATTTTTGAAGTTGTTTTCGGAGGAAGCAATTTCCGGTATTTACCTGTGCCGTCATCTTGGTTTTTTTTCGTGACAGCTGTGTGAGCCAAAAGGAAGGGTACTTAGGTAAAGGGAACAACATGACCCTAAAGGTAGGATGTTGGATATGTATATGGGGCTATTTACTCTATTAGAAATTAAAATTTAAAATGCTTATTAGTTAAAAATAACAGTAATAAAGGCATTGCATGTTAACTTAAATAACATTTTAAAGAAAAGTAACTATCTCTGAAACAAAACAATTTAGTGAGACGACAGCATCATTATACATTTGGCAAATCCCCTTAATGTCTACCTTATTAGGAGACAGACTCATTTCTGTTAT